TTTATTTCGTTTTGGAATTACTGGCACCTTACTTTTCTACAGCAAAAGTGTGTATTTTCTGAATATCTCGGAAATTCGACATTAATAGGTCTTCATAACTTTTACCATTCAGTATCAATAAATGCAAATTTTTACGGGCTTTAATTTGGTATAAAATACTTAATGAAATCATTTGACCTTAATATCAAACCAGGGAGGCATAAAGGTTTTGAACCAACCTGTAAAATAGACCAGATTTGCTCTGTTCTTCAGATCAAAATAAATCTATCTTGCTCATGTCTTATAAAGAAAAAATGTCTTGTAATTAACCTAAAAGAATCATTATGAAAAGACTTAAGCAATATCAGTTTCGTTTCACTTGAAAAAGCTCTCAAAGTGGTAGATCTGTATTCAAGTCAACAGTGATTCTCTAATGTCATTAACATATTATTGACTCAATCATTGTGAAGACGAGTTTGTCTTCCGTATGATTTGTTCTGATATTTTGCTTGTTCTATGTTTTTTTTTTCGTATAATCTTTTTTAACTATCTTATTGAAAAGAGAAGCATGCAGAGAAAAAGTGCAACCATAGATTTTCTGTGAGATATCATCAAGATAAAAAATTTCTTTTTCATTATTCCTACGCAAATAAATAACTTCAATCAGCAATGTGTAGATTCTCCTGTAGTGTTATAATTCCTTTTATTAAACATACTGAATGATGTTTTTCTGCAAGTACGTTTATATTTTCAACAAAGAATCATAGTCATAAATTGGATACCAAACAGTGAACATGAAAATTTTTAGAAGAATAGTTTAGTATGCATTGTTTGCAATGTCTATTAATGCATTGATATACTTTGAGTTGGTATTCTCTTTATTCTCAATTCATCTAAATTAGTTAGAAGAAAAAGAAACAAGTCATTGCTATGCCCATTTCCGATTTCTAACTTTGTAAAGGCTTACAAGAAGTCAAATTCAATTTAACATATAGTTACCATATGTTTTCAATCTTCCTTTAGATAAACTTATAACACTTGTAAATATCTGTAATCCGTAGGTCGGATATCTATATTTGAGTAAGGGTGCATATATGAAAAGTGATGACTTTAAGAAAAATACCTGTCATTTTTAGTATTTTAATTTATAAAAAATGTGGAAATCTCGGATTTAAATCCAAGTGTTATGTGTACTTCAAAAAGTAAAAACACAGAAGCAATTTCCCGTTTAAGTATCTTTGCAATAGGTGTCTTAGCCTTCTTGTTTCTTAATGTTTTATATACCATTTTGTAACCCATGAAATTCTCTATCGAATGGTATATAGTAGCTGAGCTTCTGTTTGATTATGAGAGAAACATTTTTTTACAAAAAGGCTAAGTCATCTATTGCAAAGCTACTTACTTTAGCAGAAACTGATGACTACCACCTTATGAGTCGAACAACTGCAAGAACAGCACTCGTATATATAGGTCTCAGCGATCTTTATTGACTTAGATACTAAGACACAGTAGTCAGTCTAGACGGATGAGTCATCATAGCATGTCTAGACCAGCAGTGTCCAAATTCCCTGGAGTCGCATTTTTGAAAAAAAAGCTTTTTTTTTGAAAATTTTTTTTTAATGCAGAAACAGACTTTTTGAGAAAGAATAAATTTTTTTAGAAAAAAAATTTCAGGTGCTTTCGAAAAAATTTATTTTTTCTCAAAAAGTCTGTTTCGGCATTAAAAAAGAATTTATTTTTTAAAAATAGGACTTGAAGACTCTAGAGTTCGGGGCTGGCGACAGTAGATGGTTACCAAACTGTTACGAGTTATCTGGGAACGTAACGGCAACTTACCACCTCTGCCTACATCCATACCCTTTGAGTTCGCAAATAATCGGATAGAAAAGCATAGGGGAAAATGAATTTTTTTGCGATAACTCAGCAATGGCTCGACGGATCATTCTCATCTTCGAACTCGACTGAGACATTGATGAGACGATACTGTGTAGAAAATTTCATCAAGATCGAACTCTCCTTTCGAAAGTTATCGTGTAAACGTCGGACGGACGAACACACTGACAGATTCTAGAGTGTACGAACTTTTTGAGTACACAAAAAGAAATGAAGGTATTTTCTTTTAAGTGCTGCCGATAAATAATGTAAATCTTGATCACATTGAGGTAAGTACATCTTGTGAAAAGTTAAGTGCTTCTATGGCTGAGTATTGAAATTCATTCAATCACACTCAAGATGAAAAGACAATGTTGTTCCTTGTTTTTTAATAAGCTTGTCATATAGAATAGTTTTGAAATTTTATACACAAATATCTGATTCGAAATTGCTTAAAATCCATCATGAAAATTGAGAATTAAAATATCAAAAATGACAACTCCTTTCACAGATGAATTGTAGACATTCAAGTATCGTCAGAAAAAAAAACGAAGAAAGTATTAGATACATCTGACAGATTTTATGCTGTTAGTATAGGTAGATTCGAAACAATAACTCAAGGTTTATTCGATATTGTTTGTTTCAATTAGCATATCTTTCAAATTTCGAATGCTTTGTCGAACCCGACAACAGTATCTCATTATATACAACTTCAAGCTGTATGTAAATGCAAACAAAAAAAATGGCAAGATATATATTTTACTTTATTTTGTATAGATGAAAGTCAAAAAGATGGATCTTCTCATGGAAAATTGATATTTAAAATTCCTATTAATGACTTAACTATTCATTCCACATAAATTCGTGAATATTATTACAGAGTCATTGATCAAATGATTATCTAAGTGAATTTATTATTCACTTTTCTTTCCTCTAAAATGCAATTCAAACAAATATTAATTTCTTCTTTAAAAAGAAATGAAAGAAGTATTTCTCCATAAAACCAAAATAGTAATATGATTGACAGTTAGTTAAAACTTTTTTTTTCGACTTTTCCTTGTATAAGTAGAAAATGAATTAGAATAACACTTATTGATTTTTTTTCAAGAGAAAATAGTTTCGTTGACTTGTCTTTATCAGTGTTGAACAGTCTTCATAGATGTAGAACCTGTCATAGATGGAACCGGTCTAGTTGTTTTCAGACCGATACCGGTACCGGTCTGGGAAAACTAGACCGGACGGGCCTAAACCGGTCTACCGGCCCAAATCGGTCTACCAGTAATACATGGATTCTTACAGTGAAGTTCCTTTTCAATGTATACCCCCAAGTTACAAACTTAGATTATGATTCAGAAATATCATTACAGTGACGTTGTAATGCTGATGTTCAATACGTAGCTTTCTATTAAAACCGGTAGACCGGTTGATTCGAAACCCAGACCGGTACCGGACTGGACCGGCCGGTAACCGGTACCGGTTCCA